GGTTTCCAATCTTAAAGCATGTCTACTGAGGCAACAAGGTTTCTTCAAGAAAGCAACCAAAGAGAATAATGCAGCAGTTGAAGCAAGCTTCGTGGTTAGTGAGATGATTGCTAAGGCAGGAAAGCCATTCACAGAAGATGATGTCAAAAATTGCATATTACAGGCTACAAGTATAGTCTGTCCGGAAAAGAAAGGTCAGTTTAGCAACATCAGCCTATCTGCCAACACCGTGGCAGAGCGCATTTCTGACCTGTCAAGTGACATCTATGATCAACTGTGTGCTAAAGCCAAATGTTTCAGTGTATACTCAGTCACTCTTGATGAGACCACATACATCACCGACACTGCCCAGCTTGCAATCTATGTCCGTGGTGTTGATGACAATTTTGAAGTGATGGAGGAGTTGCTCACAGTACTTTCAATGCATGACCACACCACTGCTCAGGAGATATTTCACCAGCTGTGTGATGCCATTGAGAATGCTGGTTTGCCATGGAAGAGGTTTGTTGGAATAACTACTGATGGACCAACATCAATGACAGGGAGGAAAAATGGACTGGTGGCAATTGTTTAAAAAAAACTGGAAGAGGAGGGTGTGGAGGAGGCTATTGCTCTGCACTGTATTATCCATCAGCAGACCCTTTGCTGCAAATGCCTCAAGTTTGACAGTGTGATGTCTGTCGTTGTGAAATGCATCAACCAAATCTGATTATTGTGAATTGTATATTGTCTGACGAGTGGTTTGTTACAGCCTAACTTTTCATTTAGAAGTAATTTGAAGCAATGTAGATAGTAAGACTGTAATATATATATATATATATATATAAATATATATCCTGTTGTTTTTGCAGAATGATTTTGTTAAAAATACAGTACAAATGTAACCATCTTTAAATAGAAATCAGTTGTTTTTACGGAAAAAAACTGGCAGCTGTGGTTGCCAGAATAACCCCGTTAAAAACACGGTACAAATGTAAACAACGTTACAAAACAACTTGTAAATTTCACGTCCTAAAACTTATTGTACATTAAATCCCAGTAAAATGTACAAGTTGTTCCGTAATGTTGTTAACATTTTTGCAGTATTTTCTACGGGATTATTCTAGCAACCACAGCTGCCAGTTTTTTCCTGTAAAAACAACGGATTTCTTTTTACAGTGTATTTTATGAAAAAAATACAAAATGAGGAGGTTGCACCTGTACATTGCTGAACAGTCAAGACCTTGGTCTATACCAATATACCTTCAATATACTTTTGTTCTGTGACTAATTTTTTATTTTCAAAATTAAAACCTGTTTTATCCAAATTCCCAAGAATCAGTGATGTGTTATATGCAAAAGCAACATGGTTCACATACATGTCCCACTCACCGCCATGAGAAAGCAACAACTTGGCCAGCTGATCAATCAAAGTCCGGTTGTGACGCTCCACCATGCCATCCGATTTGGGGTTAAAGGCAGTGGTACTGGTTTTCTTAATCCCCAGCAGCTGGCAGAGGATCTTGATCATTTCTGCCTAAAACTGACGGCCCACTATGCAGGATTTCGGGGACTCCATGCACCAAACCATAATCCTCAAAAAGGCAGCGTGCAACAGAGTGTGCTGTCTGGTTAGGCAAAGCATGCAGCAAAACAAACCTAGTAAAGTAGTCCTCTACCGTTCCGTTTTCTTCCCATGGAAAGGGCAACCCGGTTTACAAAGGATATTACTCAGTTTTTCCACTTTCTTTTGTTTTATTTCTTTAAAGGGAAAAGCAGCAGCAGCAACAGGTAATAAACCTGAAATGTAAGAAATGCAGCTTCACTCATATGCATAACACACACATAGCTCACTCACCATAATAGCCCAATAACAGCAAGCAATAATAATAAATAACCCATATCAATTGAAAAATATCACCAAATTGAAATAAACTAATGATAGCATAGTGATCATCATATGCATTAGCCAAAATACAAATATATAATATAATTTCTTCATTTACATGCTTCATATATCAAATATTATGCACCATATTCAAATCCTACTAAAAATCCCATGCAAAAATGCATTTTTGTTACTTTAGTCCTTCTCTGCAAGCTACACTAAACTACAGTTCCCACAATGCCCTGCAGCAAACCAGGAAGTACAGCACTCACGGCAAACACCGGTATCTACACATCACCTCATCAAACATTTTTAAAGCTAAAGAAACGATCATGGATAAGACGGCAACGTAACAAGTTCAAATGTTTATCTTACAGTTTCGCCATTCATAACTTTTTACTTTGATTTATTATCGGCAACTAAACTGCTTGGACGCCACCGGAGCAAAACATTACCGTATTTAACGTAGCATTACAATACAAGGAACCAGCAGACATAAACACAGTGCAACAATACAGCGTAGCAGACAATATGAAGCATACAACATGAAAGCAGACAAGAAAGCAAGAAATTAAGGGAGCTTACCAAGTGGCTGCACACCGAGTTAACAGTAAGTTAACTAATCTAGCGCTTCCTTTTCACAGGGTAAGCACAGATCACATGGGACCACAGCACACGCCTCTCTTAAAGAGGTACAACACTATTAGGCTCCTAAACTTCTCAAATGTGATACTTGTGCCATTTATTTATTTATTTATTGGTTTAATGTAAGCATTTAATTTAAACATGCAAGTAAGAAATAACAAAACTATACAAATTAACAAATTTCACAGAAAACACAACAACCACAAAAATATACCTGTTCCCTTGGGATGTCATGGGTAGCTCCAGGATATCTGCGTCTACGCGCTGTAGAGGACGGCATACTTGGGCCCCTCCCATGGGAGCCTTGGGCCCTGGGACTGGGCTCCTGCCAGTCTGACAGGCCCTACATTGTTCACACCAATGCCTTATGTCCCTCAACATGAAGGGCCAGTAGCAGGACTGTCTGGCCTTTTCCCACACACGTTCTGCAGAGAAGTGCGCAGCAGCTAGAGTTTTGGCCCCATGGATGCAGGGACAACAGTCTGAATTTGCTTCTGTCCTGTGGTGTCAGTGAACGCTGTGCGGTACAGCAGCCCCTCCATCACAGACAGACGGTGAAGCTCAGTCCACAGCTTCCTTAAGCTGGCAGAGGAATCCCGGGGGAGTTTACGAGGCCATCGCACCCTGCCTTGCTCCAACCATGTCAAAACAGTACTGATGTCAGGGTCCTCATGCTGCAGTGACTCCAATTCAGCTCCACCACCACAGAGTGAAAAGACCAGAACTGACTCTGCTTCCAGAGAGATGGGTCAGATGCATCCACTGAGGCCACAGTAACGGGTCCAGTTGCTGGAGAATTTGGCTCTACAGGGTATGGGGACACGGGCTGGCGGGGCAGAGCATCAGCATTGTTGTGGCGTGCGCCATCCCTGTGCACCATGACCCTATCAAATGGATCCAACTCCAGCACCCACCTACTCCTACGTCCAGTAGGGTCATTATCAATAGCCATGCGCCTGAGGCCCAGTAGAGGGCGATGGTCCGTGATGAAGTAGAATGCAGACAGCCCCACATAGTATTTGAACTCACACACAGCCCACACCACGGCCCATAACTCTCTATTGAAGGTGGACCATCTCTTCTGTGTGTGTGAGAGCTTGGCTGGCATAGGCTATTACCTTCTCACAGCCCTCTTTGTCCTGCGCCAGCACTGCCCCAACAGAGTCTTTAGATGCATCGGTGTACACCGTGAAAGGGAGTGCAAAGTTGGGCAGTGTCACCACCAGAGAGGATGTCAGCACTTGCTTGAGGTAGGTGAACACATCCTCAAACTCAACCAACCACTCAAATGGGCACATTCTTCCCAGCCAGCAGATTCAGTGGTGCCGCATGTTGGGAGAAATTACACACAAATCTCCTGTAATAGGAGCATAGGCCCACGAAGGCCCAGACCTCTGAAGGGGTGCGGGGAGTTGGCCATGTCCTCACCTTGTCCATGTTCCGTGTGTCAGGCCCGAGACCATCCCTGGAGACTACGTGGCCCAGGAAAACGATATGGTCCCTGGCAAAGTAGCATTTTTTGGGATTCAGCCTCAGGCCCACTCGCTGGATCCTGGACAGGACTTCATCCAAATTAAGGAGATGGTCAGTGAATGTACGGCTGTAAATCAGTATATCATCCAAATACACCAAACAAATGTGCCATGGCAGGCCCCTGAGGAAGAGCTCCATCATGCGTTGGAACGTGGCTGGCGAATTTGTCAGACCCATAGACATGGCCCGCCACTGATACAGGCCCCGTCCGGTCATGAAAGGTGTCTTCTCACCATCCTTCTCAGCCACTTCCACCTGCCAGTAGCCATTTGAAAAGTCAAGTGTGCTGAACCAGGCCAAGCAAGCTAGAGCGTCCAGGCTATCATCCACTCGTGGGAGAGGGTGTGAGTCTTTGATCGTCACTGCATTCAGAGGACGATAATCGATGCAGAACCTCCACGCCCTTTCTTTCTCACCAGCACCACTCGAGAAGCACAGGGGCTACAACTCTACTCCATAACGTCATCTGCCAGCAGTTCAGCCACTTGACGTTCGATCGTCTGTTTCTTGGGTGATGCACGATAAGCACGCTGCTTCACAGGGGGTGAGTCCCCAGTTCTGATATGGTGTTTGATCGGTGTTCCGGCCATCCAAGTTGAACACATCAGTGAACTTCTGCAGGGACTGACATACGGAAGTCCCCACTAATCAGTGACACAGACACCCCTAAGTTGACCAACATGGGGACCTCGGTGCCTTCGACCCCACCCCTGACGAAGGAAGTCGGGTGGCCAGTACAGTCCATAAGAGCCATTAAATTGGAGAAGTCAAGGTTCAAGGGGCCCCCTATAGGAGTGGCTGGCATTTGGAGTACATGTCCTCTGTTAGCTTCTCAACAGCTTTCTGAAAGCCCCCGGGAACCGACAGGGACTGGACAGATGGACTCTCACCAACGTAGGCAGAAGCACTCACATAATGTCTTTCCTTCACCATAGTATAATCCGACTTGGTCGGCTCAGAGAGGCTGTCCCACAGCAGAAACGTGGACTTGCAGAGACGAGTAGGCAGAATCCTTGCCGCTGCTCCTGGCTGTGGCGGCAACGGCCACCTCTAGCTGGCTCCCATCCCCGGTGAAAGGAGGAGGAAGGTCAATCTTAACATCACCGCCCGGTGAGTATCTGCCAAGCGTGCAGAAAAGGTCCTCGTCTGCAACCTACGTCCATTTAGCAATGTTTTCCCAGCACCGCACGAGGTTAGCCAGCAAGCTATATCGGAGATGCTACGCTAATCAACTATCATGTAGCCGTCACGGACTAAATACGCTACCAAAAACCAACGGGGGTTCAGCAAAATACCACAGCTGCCACCAATGTAGCCGAGCGTTCTGGGTTCATAAATATGGGGCGACTAGCTATATATATATTGATCTTGCAAGCAACTAATGGGACAGGAGACGGGACAGCGTATTCAGTTGTAACTACACTTCCCCACCTTTATTCTTTTCTTTTGCAAAAACCAAAAACAGTCACGTGCTCCCCCTGCCGTAAAACCCAGCGGACACTGTAAGGGACACGCCTTCTTTTCTAATTAAACACAGAACAGTCTGTTACATTAACCTCACTTTTACTTGAATTGGAACATACATACTTAGTCTCCAGTACAGCTGTCAACGAATTGCTTGAGCAACTATAACATATTATTGGAATGGTCTCTGTGCCACTTAGTCTGAAAACAATAAATCAAGTTTTGGGAGATAATGATTGTGATGAGGAAGCATCTGTTGTTGAAGAGCTAGCCACTTTTCTTTGTCCTTCACATCCAATTAAAAAAGCAATAGTTAAACATTGTCTAATTTTTGGAAGCGCATATGATATCATAGAATGATAAAAGGAACAAAAAATCATCAGTGTGTATCCATGCTTAACCATTTATAGGGAACTCAATGAAATACTTTAAAATAAAAAAAAATCAAACTTAGAGTGTTATTGGACAACATAATAAGACTTTATCACATTTGTGACATTTAAAAAAAAATTGTTTTCATGTCGAAAATCGAGGTCAATGAAGTTACCATATTTGGTAACTTGCCCTTGAGTGGTAAAAATATCAAGGCCAATGAAGTGATCAAATTTGGTTACTTGCCTCCTAATGGGAAAAGAAATTACAATAAGTATACATAGATAAAAATACAGGAAAAACACATATAATGTATTTGAACATTTGAACATCACTTTCAGAACATAAAAGTGCTAACAGCAAAACGTGCTGATAACAAAAGGGCTCAACAAACCCTCGGCTTTGAGGAATACAAGTGTCTGTGTTTGTCTCTGCAGCTGCCTCTGTCTGTCCATCCAAACATGAGACATTAGGCCACTTCTCCATGGTACTTGATAAAGCAGTTCCGCTCACTGTTCATGCAGAGGTGCACCTTGCAGACCCTGCAGACCACATTTGACCTCATAATGTTGCCTTTACTGCTGCAGTGCTTGCAGGTATAGCATTCACCATGTATAGGGGCATGGAAGAGGGACATATCAGACTGCACAGCCACATGTGGGGTGTGGCTGCGGTGTCCCCGGACAGGCTTAGGGATACCAGCACTGATGGTCAGGCTTTCAACAGAGGAAGATTAACTTCTTCTGGAGCTAGGCATGGCTGGCCTCTGGTAGCTGGCATCCCTGGAGTCTGAAATCTTTCAGAGGCTGGGATTTCACACCAAGGGCCTTGCAGTCCCACTTGTACACAACCCAGGCATTTGTGAGGCTGATATCAATGACGTCGCAGGTACCACCTCTTTGACTTCATGGGGGTGCGGTAGAGATGTACCAGCATGTCACTCTTATCAATGCCCCCCATGTTGGCATTATAACTCCTGATGACAGCTGGACAGCTCACAGGCTCCCTCTTCTTACTCTCACTGCAGTACCTGATGACTGTGGACATCGGCCCCACCCCCATGTCGGTTGACAGAAGAGTGACCGTTTTGTTGTCCTTCCACTTGACAGCCAGTATCCCATCCTCACTGGTGACGTAGTCACAGGTACCACGAGGGACAGCCTTTTTCTCCATATCCTTGATTGTCCTGAGTGGAGGCTTTCCAATTCTGTTGTCCCTGGCTGTCCCTGTTTACCTACAGTTGTGGTCTCGGAGGTACCGCACTAGCTCCAGGCTGGTGAAAAAGTTATCAGCATAGATGGCTGTGGTGTCGGGAAAGGACATGGTACTGGCAAGGACAGATACAATCTGGCTGGTGGCACCTAAGCCTTCTTGTTCAGGTTTTAGGGGAACATCATGGGCCTCCATGGTAGTCTTGCCCTGGTATAGCACAATGTCATGGATGAAGCCATCCTCAGATGCCCTGGCAAACAACTTGAAACCCCACTTGTCTGGCTTGCTTTTTATGTATTGCCTCAGGTTGCCAGCTTTCTTCCCTTTGTAGGCAATCATTATTTAATCTACAGACTGTTTGGGGGTCTGTGACTCACGTCTAAAGGCAGTATTTATGAATCTGAACAGTGGTCAGATTTTGAAGAAGCGGTCACTGGTACGACAGATCATGGAGTTGTCATTTAAGTGGATAACCTTTTTAAGTAAGCCTGAACCTCTTCGAGGACATCAGTTTGGCAACTTGAGGGACCCTGGTCTCTATGGCCCAGTAATCATCAACAGACGGTAGCTCCACAATACCCATATAGATGAGGATGGTGACAAAGGCAAGTATTTCATTCTTATTGGTCGTGAAAGTGGTGTTGATGTCCTGAGCAGCATATAAGTTGGTTTGGTACGTGATATGCCTGATGATTTGGTTGTCAAAGTACCTTGTAAAGTACTGAAAAGGGACATCAATGTAGTCAGGGGTGGAGTGCTGGTATTCAGGCAGGGCTGTGTTGTTTAGGTCAACTTTGTGCCAGGTGGTTGGCCTGGCTGCTGACTTACTGGGTTTGCTGGGCCTCTTGGCTTGTGGTGCTGGCTGCTCGTTATCATCATCATCATTGTCCACACTGTAAATGTCGCTGCCACTGTCCTGGAGCACCTCCACGGCAGGCTGCAAGCGTTTCCTTTTGGTGGAGGGGCCCATGTCGCTTGGGCCTGGAATGTCCTGGTTGTGGGTGGGTGGGACGAAGTCAGGGTCTGACACATCATCATCTTCATCCTCGTCAACATCATCACTAATGTTAGGGTGGACTGGCACAACCGCAGTCTCCCTCCTCTTGCCATAAAAGGTTGATGGAAGCCAAAAATTAAACATATGCAATTAAACAAACATCATAAACTGACAAAAATCAATCATAATTACTATTCATAAACTAAAAAAACACTGTTGAAATTTCCCAGAATCACTGTATAGTGTTATAAAAAACTTTTTCAACCTCAAAACATAATTTGCTAAGTTGTATTGCTTAATTTGTAAAGAAAATGCACTCAGTATGGTTTGTTAGATGCATTGGGCATATGTCCAAAAACGTACTTACCAAGTAAAATCTAGTTTTTAGTGAAAATATGGTGCCCGCATTTGTCATGTATTTTCAATCATTTCAATAAGTCTTCAGCAAACAACTTGTATGTCAACACTAAACACAACTATTCAACAATAAAATGTATGAGTTTCATCATTTTACCATGGTTAGTTTTTATGTTTCCTTTGAGAATGTAAAGTGAACCGAGCTGCAAAAGTTAATTTTTCTGACTTTGGAGAAAAAGAGAAATTTGACGTGGCCGCGGTCTGTGCTTATTGGTCCAACTGCACAACAAAGTAACCTATAATGTAGAGTGATCTTTGCTGATTGGCTGGGTAAAGATTCAATGATTCTTGAACTCACTGCGACGGGGGATGGGCACGATAACTAACGTGCGGAAATTACCAAAAACAGTCACTTGCCTGATAAAGGGTTAAAGCATGGCAGCAGATTCTAAATTCAGATTCTATCTTGATAAAGATTGCCAATTTCAAAGAGAAATATCAGTCACCTGATAGAGATAAAGCAGTTTATAGTTGTCCCTTTGATTGTGAATTTTTCAGAAAAACACTTTCGTCTAAAGACTGTGCAATTTCACTTAACCTTTATATAGATGATTTCGAAATATGTAATGCCATTGGGACATCACAACGAAAACGTAAAATCTGTGTCCTCTATTGGAATTTAGGTAATCTGTCCCCCAGTTGTCAATCTTTACTGTCATTGATACACTTGGCTCTTCTATCGCCAACATGACGCTATGTATGACATGTATCGATCTTCTGTAAATACATTCACTGTTTATTATGAGTCTAACAAAGTTTATTAAATGGCAGGCAACAACGTCATAATTTAAAAGGAATAAGTGCAGAAATAACAATATCTGTTCACTATACTTGCAGCACAGCATTCAGTGGGAGCTGATGCCATGTCTTTTGTGTTTCCATTTCCTTTGTTATTTTAGGTGGTATTTAAGCATCTTTCTGGACCCTCACGCCAACACACAACTTGATCAGTCAATATTGCAAATCCTGTACGACTCTTGATCTTGTTGAGTGCTGTTGACAGCACAGAGAGGATGGATCTACCATTGGTGCCAGACACCGTTGAAGAGCTCATTGAACACGTCAAAGAAGCTTGGAAACTCACTGGAGGCATCAGGCTGCAATACAAGGATGTGGACTTTGGAACATTTGTTAACTTGCGATCAACCTCCTCGATCAAGGATCTTACCACCATCAAGGTCATAACTTGTGCTCCTGCTTCTGATATCATTCTGGAATTCCTAGATAGTGTCCCATCTAATTGGAGTGACTTAGATTCAATCCTCGTCTCAGCAAACACTGATTCAGATGTCACAATCATACTCGGCAGCAGCTCCTCTGAGAGACTCTGAACGGAGCCCTGGCCAAAGGAGTTAATCATCCCACTCTTCTCCTTTGAAACAGAAGGTCAAGTCGAGAAAGGGTATGCTGATACACGAAGAACCAAACTAAACTTCATCAAAAATGCTGTCCGACATACTCAAAAGATTGGCTGAGAAGATTTTCCCTACAAGGCGTACCCCACTGATGCAGACCTGAGTGATGTTGCAGTGGCTCTGACAAGGAAGCATCCCTGCTTGAGGCAATCAGACTCCTTCAATGAGAGCTAGGGATGGAAACTGAGACTTAAGAGTAAGATGTGCAAGTATTGCACTCAGCTGAAGTCACATGGTGAACACTCTAAAATCCAAGTCACAAGAAGATCCCCTTTTCCTCCCAGCAAAAAACAACAAAAAGGCAAGAAGAGGTGATGCCAATTACTACCATCAGCCCAGCAGTGAGGCTCCAGAAACTCTGGAGGAAGAGAGAACATTGCTTCTGACTGCAGTAAAGAAGAGAAACAATGAGAAAACCATACAGGAGAACATGGCCAGGACCTTCGAGTTTAAGAGGCGAGAGGTTGTGGATCAGAAGCCTTCCATCGAGAACCTCATAGAAAAATGGTCTGTCCCATTTAAGAAGGAAGAGGTAACGATTGTTACACGATTGTTGTAGCCCATTTCTCTGCCCTCCCGTCTGCCCTCCAACAGCTCCAGCTTGTGTTTTCCCAGCCTGACCCCTTCTTCCCGGCTTGGACTTTCCCTGCCCTCCACACCTCACTTTTCTGCAGCACCACAGAACTCCTTTCAATAAATCTGTTCAAAGGTCTCCGGTTTACTGAGTGGCTAACTGCATGTGGGTCAAAATGCTTCCTCGTTCCGTGACAGTCTTTGTCTTCAGAAAGAACTCAAGCCTTCTACAACAGCCGACAGAGATCGGGATCATCATTGATGGTGTGGAAGGCCTCACTGAGTTGCCTTTTGTGGCAGCTGGAGTGGTAGGGCTCTTCGGACTATGTTATGCTCTTAATATGGAATATCCCCAGGGGTTCAGGTTCACCCTTGAGTCTCTTCAGAAAATCCTGATAGAGCTTGGTTCCAATAAGATGAGCCCCAAAATTATCAAACTAAATGGTGAACTCCACACTTCATTTGCTTGGTATACAGTCTATTTGTTACATGGCTTCCATTTCTTAAAGATCATTACAGTTTATATTTGTTCAGTTCAGATGCCATTTTGATAAATACTGCCCATAAAAAGGAGATTTTGGTTGCCAGAGGGTGATATGGGTCACATGTTAAAAATGTACAAGCTGTGAGCCAGCACTTCGAGGGCGAGAACTTCACTTAGTTACACCTAGAACCTAGGTTAGCCATTTAAGGCTATGTTAGCAGTTAATAAATACATTTAAAGTTATATGTTCGCAAAGTGTTTTTATAGAGTTTGTAAGATGGGAAATGTAAATTATTTTTAAAGTAAAGTCAAATGAAATGTGAAAATTATAAGTTGGTTATATTCAAATTAATTAACTACTGTCAATACAAATTAAGAAGATATAGTTTCGCCCCAGGGAGGATATATGTGACACGGTCAACAGCTTGAAAATTGTAACAAAAATATATCCTTTTTTTCGCAGAAAAGCAAATTTTTAACATTTCCAACTGAAATAATTCAGCAATTGACTGAATTTATATTTAGTTATAATCCTCATTAATAAACAACAAATTCACAAATTCACAATTCGGAAAAAAATAGTAATACTGTTCAAAGTGCCAATGAAATGGGCCCAAAATAGAGTGTTGGGATAGTGTTGGGTCTTGTTTTTTAATCAGCCGATTCACCGGTTTAACTATCCTTCCCACCCTGGTTCTCACTACACCCACTGCACTACTAGAAGAACTTCCAATGTTGGAGAGCTGCAACGAAACTTCAGACCTTTGGTCAGCATTATGAGCAGCAGGTGGACAGGATACTTCTGACGGAGCATTGCTCAACTGATCATTCGTCACAGTATTCAACTGCGTGGCCAGGTCAGTATCCTGTGTGCATGAAGGCTCCTATAGCTGACTAGTGGCAAAGGCCCCTGCCACCCAACTGGCTGTCCAAGCTGTCCTGTCCACTTCTGAGTCGGGAATATGTGGAGTCCATTTCATCTTTCGACTCGCATGATTAGTTGATCAGAAGGAGCAGATTGCGGTGAACAACTCTTTCTTGTCCATTGTTCATGTTCCTGATACGGTGAGTATGGCACCTGGGGTCGGCAGAGACAACGACAAACGGGATGGATCCCCACTTGTCCGCTAACTTCCTGCGTCCCCGTTCACCCTTGTTTGCCAACAAGACTCGGTCACCTTCACCAATGTCACGTCTTTTTGTTTTCCTATTGCACAAGTCTCCTTGCCGTTTGAGGCTTGTGATGAGCTTTGGCCTGAGCAGCTGACAAAGCCTCCTTCAGATCTTGTTTCATCCAAGCAACATACTGGTCATAGTCAACAGTGTCACAATCCCTCCCAGCATTCCGAAACATGACATCGACTGGTAGATGTGGCACCCTGCCATACGTTAAGTAGAATGGTGCGTAACCTGTTGATTCGTGTGCAGTGCAGTTGTAAGCGAATGCTAGAGTCGGTAACATTTGTGGCCATTTCCGCTTTGCTCTAGGGCAGTGCTTCCCAAACTTTTTGCATCGCGTACCCCTTGGAGCATTTCATCTCCATCCGTGTACCCCCCCACCCCCAAAAAAAAGAAACATTCAACATAGGGATCAGAGTTTTATTAACTTGACAGCAGATACTAAATACATCTGCATGATAAAAGGGCATAACATAATAACATGTAACAAACAAGAACAAAGACTATAACGAGCCTGTTTAGAATACAGCCAAAACTGCGGAGCACTGCATTAAGTTTAGGATGCGTGACGGACTCCTTGTGACTCTAATGTGAGGGGTGTGCTTGAGAGGACGCGCATAACCCCTGTATGTCTGGCCGAATCGGCGACAGTTTCAGTCTTAAATCGTCTTCCACACATAGTCTGTGTCGGTATTTAGTTTTCAGGCTGGTCAGACATGAAAATCCTCTCACACATAAATATGTAGTGGCACATTAATGAATGGCATTAATTTCTTGACCGCGCGTGTTGCCAGTTCAGGGTACTCGGTGAGCAGCCCTATCCAAAAATCTGTGAGAGGCTTGCGGTTGAAATCCGTTTTCAAGGATCCTGATGCTGCAATGTCAATGAGGTTCTCTTGTTCAGAGACCGACAGGGCAGCAGGAACAGTCAGCCTAGTGAAGGGAGTTCAAATCCAACTGTCGGACTCGTCGTCGCTGTCTGGGAAGTATCTGTGCAACTCAGCAGCGAGCGCGCTGAGATGTGCTGCGATGTCGCACTTGATGCCGTCAGCCAGACTAAGGTCATGTTCAGTGAG